CAGGCCTCGGCCTGGTCTGCGCAAGCGTCGTCCGCTGCATCTTTTTTTAATAGGGCGACTATTCTGTGGTTACGCCAACTGCAGGAACGTATTCCGGCGTCTGAGCAGCGCACTCACCAAGATATTGTCAAGATCTTGGCAGCGGTGGAGTTTTCCGCTGATGCCACACTTTCCGCTGCTCGATTTTCGGCCAAGGCCATCGGTTCCTCGGTGACTTCCCGACGGCTCCTCTGGCTCCGCAATTGGCAGGCTGACGCCAGGAATAAATGGCGCCTCGCTTCCTCGCCTTATGCTGGCCCTAAGTTATTTGGAGAGCAACTAGAGCCTTTACTCATCGAGACCAAGGATCATCGGAAGATTCTTCCTTCTCTCTCTCGCCGCTCCGAATATCGCCTTCAGGGACCCTATCGTTCATCCTCCTTTCGAGGCTCCGACTCTACGGCCTTCCAGCACCGTCATCACCGGCCCTTTTTCTCCAGGGGACCGCTGCAACAGGATAGCCAGGTCAGACAGGGGCCCCGCTTTTCATCAAAACGGCCCTTTCGAGGCGGGAGGGGCCGCCCCTTCCGACGGTCCCGCTAGGTCTCTCCCTGACACCTTGATTGGCGGCCGTTTAACCTTTTTCGCCGATCAATGGGACTTGTCGGTGTCTGATTCCTGGGTCAGGAATACTATCAGGTTTGGTTTGTCCCTTGAATTTCATTCCATTCCACCTAGTTTCTACCTACCTTGTCCGATTTCCCTGGACCCGGTTAAACGGGCCCGGGTTAAGGAGGCCATCCAACACTTATTAACCATCAAGGCCATTCAACCTGTCCCTCTTTCGCAAAGGGGTAACGGGTTTTACTCCCGTTTGTTTCTGGTCCCCAAGTCCTCGGGAGGTTGGAGAGCCATTCTCGATTTAAAGTCCCTCAACCGGCACATCGTCTACCTTCGGTTTAAGATGCAGTCGCTTCAGACCATCCTGCTCTGCATCCGTAGAGGAGACTTTATGTCTTCCATCGATTTAACCGAGGCCTATCTCCATATTCCCATCCTCCCCTCTCACCGTAAATTTCTTCGTTTTTCCTATAACGGGCAGCATTTCCAGTATGCTGCCTTACCATTTGGCCTTTCATCTGCCCCCAGGGTATTCACTAAAGTAATGGCGGCCCTAATGGCCCATGTCGCTTCTGTCCCTATACGCGCACTTTTTTATTTGGATGATATCCTTATCCTGTCCCAGTCCCAAATTCAAGCAAACAGAGATCTTTCCTCTGTTATGGCTATTTTACGAAGTCACGGCTTTTCCATTAATGTCTCTAAGAGCCATCTGTCACCTTCTACGTGCCTAAAACACCTTGGGGCCATTATCGATTCATCCACCCTGCGGGTTTCTCTGTCACAAGAGCGCCAGTCCAGTCTCTCTGACCTGGCTTCCTCTGTCAGGGGGCGGGCCTCGGCCTCTCTTCTGGTCCTCTCTAGTCTGCTGGGTAAGATGGTCTCCGCTTACGGCATTGTGCCGTGGTCTCGCCTCCACAGCCGGGAGCTCCAGTGGCTATTACTCCCTTTCCAACGGAGTTTCCGCAGCACTTCGGCCTCCAGGATTGTCCTGCCGCCGAGAGTACTAGACTCGCTCAGTTGGTGGACGCCATCAGCGGTATCCCGGGGCTCTTTCTTCAGAGAGGCCGACAGGATTGTCATCACAACGGACGCCAGTCTGTCTGGATGGGGCGCGCACCTGGGGAATCTTCTAGCACAGGGTCTTTGGTCTTCTTCGGAGCAGACCCTCAACATCAACTTGCTGGAACTGCGGGCCATCTACCTGGCTCTACTGAACTTCGAACCTCAGGTCCTTGGCAGGGACGTCCTCATCCTGACGGACAATGTCTCTGCCAAGGCACATGTCAACAGACAAGGCGGCACCAGATCTCGTTCTCTGCTGAAGGAGTCTCTCCGCCTGGGGCTCTGGGCGGAGATCCACCTGTCGTCGCTCCGAGCGGAGCATATCTCCGGAACGGCGAACGTCTGCGCGGATTCCCTCAGCCGCCACATCATCGACCCTGCCGAGTGGAGCCTATGCCCCCTCCTCTTCAAGGACTTAATCTCCCGCTTCGGCACCCCGTCATTGGACCTGTTTGCCTCGAGCGAGAATCATCAGCTGCCCCGCTTCTTCTCCCGCTATCCTTCTCCGGGTGCGGAGGCGGTGGATGCATTACGCAGCCCTTGGCCAGTCGGACAGCTCCTCTACGCCTTTCCTCCATTGCCACTCATCTCCAGAGTCGTTCGGAAAATTCTCTCGGAGAGAGCGGAGGTCATCCTGCTTGCCCCACACTGGCCTCGCCACCCGTGGTTTCCCGACCTGAAGTCCCTGTCAGTTGCTCCTCCGTGGCGGATTCCCGACGATCGGATATCCCTACGGCAGGGGCCCATCCTGCACCCGGACCCTCAGTCCTACCAGCTGACAGCCTGGCGACTGAGCGGCTCTTATTGACCAGGGCCTTCGTTTCCACGGGAGCCATCGAAGTCATCCAGGCGGCTCGTAGGCCCTCCACTCAGCGCATCTACGGCTCTACTTGGAGAACTTTTTCTGATTGGTGCCGTCGCCGTTCCATCTCTCCTACTGAGGTCTCGATCCTCCAGCTCTTGGACTTCCTTCACGACGGTTTTGTGGCCGGTCTCGTTCCTAATACACTCCGTCGCCAGGTAGCTGCTCTTTCTTCGGTACTATTCTGCGGTTCCAATACTTCACTGGCCAATGATCCGCTGATTCGGTCTTTTTTGAGGGGCGCCACCAATCTGCGACCCCCCACAGTACACCGCTTCCCAACCTGGGATTTAAACAAGGTTTTGATAGCCCTCACGAGTCCTTCATTCGAGCCACTGCGAGAGGTTAGCCTCAAGTTCTTATCATTTAAGGTTTCCTTTTTAGTTGCTATCACCTCCGCGCGGAGGATTTCTGAGCTTGCAGCCCTTTCTGTACGACCGGATCTTTGCATTTTTCATACGGACAGGGTAGTCCTCCGCCTTGACCCTGCCTTCATCCCAAAAATTAATACCATATTCCACAGATCTCAGGAGCTCTCCCTCCCGAATTTTTGCCCAACGCCTCGTTGCCGGCAGGAACATGTCTGGCATAAACTGGACGTACGCAGGGCCCTTCGGATTTATGTACACAGGACGGCCCCATTCCGGAGGACCGAGGCCCTATTCCTGTCCTTCCAACCTTCGTCGATGGGATCTCGTGCCTCCTCGGTCACTATAGGACGGTGGCTCAGGGCCACTATATCATCAGCTTACGAGGCTCATTCCCTGGAACCTCCTCGTGGCATCACTGCGCATTCCACACGGAGCGCCTCCACCTCAGCCGCATGGGCCACCCAGGCCTCTTTGGAGGAGGTTTGCCGGGCTGCAACATGGTCATCAGTGACTCCTTTTATACGGCACTACCGCCTGGATTCATATGCGTCGGCTGACGCAGCGTTCGGCAGGAGGGTTCTGCAGCAGGTCCGGCCTTTCCCGCCCTAGGAGACACCACGCTTTGGTATGTCCCAGTATGACTGCCGTGGGCGCCATTGTCGGAGAATGGGCGTTGGTCTTACCTGATACGCCCCTTCTCGAGCAGGCGCCCACGGCAGTCATCCCCACCCCTTCTTTTTCAGGCCGTACCTGGTTCTTGCCTAGGGTGGGGGGGATTTTTTCACTTCTCTGTTTCTTTTGCTACAGACACCACAGTCTGCTGGTCAACCTCGCCTCCAAACTGGAACTGAAGCAGGAAGAGGCGGGACTAAAGTTCCAGTAGACTCGGTCCTATTGGATAGCGAACGTGTCGATACCCCGGTATGACTGCCGTGGGCGCCTGCTCGAGAAGGGGCGTATCAGGTAAGACCAACGCCCAATCTCTATCCCCAAGGGTTTCTGCCTGTTCCAGCAGATGCACAATGGTTGGTCTGCTCTATTAAACGATGTATCTTCTGGAGCTAAAGGTGTGCTGTCTATTGCAATGCCTATCTTACGAAACACCTCTTGGCTTTCCCAAAGACTGTTAAGGGCTGGCTTTTTCTTCAGGCATTTAGGCCAGGATGCTGGTAATCCCAAGTTATTTATACAGGCTGTTCTTTTTTGTATTACTTGTAAACAGTAAGAATCATACAAGTGTGATGAGCTGTATAGAAATTTGACATAGAAATAAATATGATTTTGTTTAATTTTGATTATGGAATTTTTACATTATTTTTGTATTGATTGTTTCCCATCTAGAGTTATGAATGTAAGATGTGTACACACACTCTCACACACACATTTTCTCTGACAAAATACATCACTACTGGTAGTAATCTATTATGAGAGAACTGAAGGATGTAAATCCGGAGAAAGATTAGGTTAATTTTTGTAATAAAATATCATAGTTTCGCAATAGATTTGTATAAATATAAAAGGTCAATAATTTACTTATAAGAAAATTCATTAGCGGAAGCAAGCCAACATGTAGACTCTTCTTAGCCACAGCTTTCATTGATGATCAAACTTTTCAGTGTTACATTTTGCAGAGTTTTTTCTCCATTTTTTTCTTACATTTTAACAAAATCCATTAAAGTGGGGGAAAGTATGTAATATATCTTGATTAGTATCATTATAAACTGTGTAGAAGCATCCTGGTCTTCTGTTGAGGATTATTTCCTCTGTTAAATCTATCTGCACTTCCAATTACAAAAAATTAAAGGTTCAGATATATTAAACCAGTCAGCATTGTAGAGGGAATGGAAAAATATTGTCTTCAAATATGTGTTTAATATTTGTTTCTGAATGAGAATATATTTTGATGTTATTTTATGACTTAATTTGAAATAGAACTATTCGCAATCCTGGTCTTGACAAAATAACATCATTTGTATTTACAAGTGGTTATATATTACTTGTTTTTCTTCTTTTGGAAAATATGAGTGATGTACATGAAACTATAAACCAAAATGGAATATATTGCAATTAATAAATTTAACTTCTTCTTTTTTTCTTCTTAGGGTGGTCATTTGCACAACGTCAAGTCACTGTTCAAGAAGGGCCTCTATACCGCACTGAAAATTCTCACATCACCATTTGGTGCAAGGTCAGCGGTTATCAAGGACCATCACAACAGAATTTTCAGTGGTCCATATACCTTCCGTCTTCTCCAGAAAGGGAAGTACAGATTGTCAGCACCATGGACCCATCTTTCCCTTATGCAATCTATACTCAACGTGTTAGGAGTGGAGAAATCTATGTGGAGAGAGTTGAAGGGGATTATGCTAGGCTGCACATAACACAGCTCCAAGACAGGGATGCTGGCGAGTATGAATGTCATACTCCAACAACTGATGAAAGATATTTTGGAAGCTACAGTGCCAAGATGAAGCTAATTGGTAAAGTGTATTGTATTATTTTCATAAAAAAATAGAGTATAATTATAAATTGTGGAGAATGGTGGTTTGAGTGTATTTTATTATTGTTAATTTTCATAAATTAGAGCTAGAGAGAAAAAATTAAGCTGCAAAATGAAATACGTTACTGGCACAGATTTGGACAAATAAGCTTAAATTTAATTCTACTGAGAACAGGATTTTATAGATTGACAAAGCTACCAATACAAATGGAAGTCAAGAACCATTTTTAAGTAAGATTGAAAGAGACCAAGCCCACAGATTTTCCTTAAAACCGTGCACAGTTGGTGTGATTCAAAATTTTCTCTTAGCGCCTACATCTTTCTAATGGGTTTAATTGATAAGCCTTATATAGTGCTTCAGATTTGATTTCCAAAAGATGTTTCAGGGTGCATTGGAGAGAAAATGTAGTAGTAGCTTTCTACGAAACACATTTATCTTTTAAAAAAATATTTTAAATTTTTATTTTAATTTTTTACTAATTGGTGAAATACAAAAAAATTACAACAGCGTCAGGAAAAATAGTAATTATATAGTAAAAAATAATGATATTGATTAAAATAAATGTTACCAAAATATCATCACAAATTAACAAAAAATATTTATGATAACTATAGCTTATAATTAAAATTAATTAATTTTTTAAGATTATTCAGACTTGACCATATTAGATCATTTTATCATTTTAAAAATAGACAGACTATATCCGGGATCTAAAATGTAAAATGTACACTACTTTGAAGCAAATGAATACATGGCTATTTGTTGAAGCTGCCATTCAATCATCAGAAAAATGTGATTGCTTTAAGATTTTGCTCCATGTGCATTATCCTGTCCTCAGAGCATTTTTGGAGGCGAGATCCATGGCTCTGTTAAGCTATGGCGTCTATTAATACATTGCTTTTTTGGTATCTCACCCTAAAAATCTTGAATATTCTCTTTCTCAGACTGATATATTCTATTAAAATAAAACTAATTACAAAATATATTAAATTAACTGAAACTAAATTTATTCTGTAACTTTACTTTTTTTAAAAATAGTGTAGCTGAGATAATGTTTTGTTTAATGATCACAAAGCAATTTGTACAGTAATCCTATAAATTTTTTTGAGGAGATTGATATACTTCCACAAAATAAAACTTAATTTTACAGTTTTTAATTATGACATAATTATTGAATAATATATATTGCCAGTTTCCATTTAGTTGTTTCTTTGTTCTTTTTATCTATTTCAAGTACTAGAACTTCTTTCCAACTACTAAATGGTTTGGGTGCCAGAAATTTAAAGCACACTTATAACCTTCTGAATATGCTTCAGTCATCTGATTGGGTTTTTATGAGTACCACTGTAAGTGAAGCTGGAACAGGGAAGAAGAGGGATTTTACAGCGGTGTTGCTATACTGCGGAATACTTTCATTAAGAAATCTTTTCTGTTACTCACATATTCTTTTTATTGAGTTATGAAAATTGGCATAGATTTTAAAATCATATTTTTCTTTTAATGTAACAGTAACACCAGTCTATAGTAATCAATAATTAGGAGGAGACTGGTCATACTCTTTCAGACCAACAAGTATTATTTATTAATTATGATTTGTTAAACAATATATATGGCTGCCCAACTCACATATGGTAACTTGAGGGCAGATTAACGCATTAAAAACCACAACATAAAAGGCCACACATAAACAATACTGGTCATTTGATTGACTCTGTATCAGTGTGGGGTCCCCAGGCCCGCAGACAGAACTAAGTCTTCAGGCCTTACAGAAAAGTGACAAATCGGCATCCAATTTTAACTCTGGGGGAATGATATTCCATAGGGAAGGGACCACAACTAAGAAGGCTCCTATTCTTGGTCCCACCAGGTGTATGTACCACTCTAATGGATGAGGCCATAACATGCCTTGCCTTACTGGTGGATCACATAGATGTAATTTTGGAGAGGCGGCCTTTCAAATAACATGACCCCAAGCAATGTAGGGTTTTAAAGGTAATAGCATTAAAGTTTATGTCTTTAAATAAATGTTGTTACTATAGTTTGAAAAGATGCATTAGGCTGTTCATATTTGCTTTTTTTAAGTTTATAGACATACTTTTAAAAGTATTACTTTAATACTTTTAAAAAAGTATTAAGAATTCACATGTTGCTTGAATATAACAAATAATATGTTTTTATTTCAATTAATGATTAGATAAAACAGAACATATTTTTTGAAGATGATGTGTTTTGTGGTTGAGGATGGATTTTTTGTCATGAAATTACATTAAGATACAGATTGTTATCTCCTGTTTATCATTTGTTTTATTCTACATGTAAGATATATTTCACATTTTTACAGGAATGGTAAAGTTTCAGAAAAGTTTTTGCATGACTAAAATTAAGTTAACAATAGCAGCACCGAGCGCACCCTTAGGTGATAAAATATTGCTAGCTTCTGCTGTTATGTTAAAATTCCTTTTTATACAGAAGTATAAATTTAATTTACAATGACTTTAAATTCCATTTATTTTAATTAATTTAAATAGCATAAGGGGAAAAAAGAAACGTGTGAGATCAGTAATGATTATAGGTTTTAAATGAAATGTTTCTGAATAAATTATAGGATTTATATATTAAAATTGCTTGGAGATGATTAAATCAGGAAAGAAGTTCATTTTTATAGAGAAACTGGCAGAATAGCAGAACACATATAAGTTGTATATTTATAAAGTCAACTACTTCTGCATTTGAATTTGTTAATAGTTCATAAATAATAATTCTATTATAACAATTCTAGTAATAATAGGGAGCAGTTTGGTGTAGTGGTTAAGGCATCACTAGAAAAGGAGAGACTGAGTTCTACTCCTGTCTTAGGTATAACATCAATTGGGTGACATTGTGCCAGTCATTCTGTCTTCATTCTAAGAAGCAGGCAGTGGAACCCAATTTCAAAAAATCTTGCTAAGAAAGCTGCAGGGATTTATCCATAATTACCAGGAGAAAAAACCAAAACACCTGATTCAAAGGCATCCAAAACCCAACATGAAAACAAAACAAATTTACAGAAATAGTTTGGAAGGATGAGATTTTAATTGTAGAGGTTTACAAAAGTTAGCTCCAAAGATGAAAGTAAATAGAGTTGTTTTAAAATAATTACACAGATATATTACAAAAATATCTTTAAGGGGTGACTTTCAAATGTAAAACTATGGCCTTTCACTTCAGAAACAATGAGAGGATGATGCCATCTTTTATTTTGGTTTCGTAATCACATCAGTTTCTGGCTTTATCATCCTGGGGAAAAAAAACTTTGAAAGGTTTAGCTAACTATCATGTAGAGAACTTAATTACTATTCCTACTTTAGGGGTATGCACATTTATATAAATAAACTTGGATGCTAATTAATCATGATGCCCAAACTCACAGGTTATCAATCTATACTGTACTATAATGTTACTAATTGAACAGTCACTAATTGAAGATGGAGTCATAAAACTAAGCCTGATTTTTAAAAATCTGAATTTATTTTTTAATTCATTCTGAAAATATTGCTTGGAACACCCAAAACAATCCACGTGACAAAATCGACTAGTGTTATCTCAGTTTGTACTTAGGATTTTGATGCTTTGTTTTTCCAACTGACATTGAATAACGTACTAAAAATGTGAGAAATATGGGTGAGTTTCTATTTTTCCAAGAAGTAAAACAAAATTTTCATCAAGTTATGAATTTTTTATCATCACATTAGTTGAACAGCACTTATTTGGCTTCAGACTGGTCCTAGGGAATATAGAGTAGAGGGAATTTTTATTGTTTCTGAGTGCTGTGAAATGTGTATAAAGAGTGTATAAAAGGAATTGTATTACTTAGCACACTGGTGGTTCATAATGAACATTAATGGATCATTTTGTCATTGTTTGCTGTTATTTAAAGAAGCAATCTTTTGAGTTCTCATACTAATGTTTATACTCGGGTAGGTTCTAAATTTTTTTACTATTGGTTCTGTGGGCATGGCTTATTTGGTGGGCGTGGTTTGGTGGTCATGTGACTGTGGGCGTGGTTTGGTGGTCACGTGATGGAGCATGGCTTGATGGTCACGTGTCTGGGCATGGCTTGGTGGTCACGTGACTGGGTGGGCGTAGCTGGGTGGTCATGTGACTGGGTAAGCGTGGCCAGCTTGACTTCACTCATGTCAAGGGTTATGGTTAGGGTCCCTGGCCTCTCCTAACCTCAAAGGCCTTAACGAGATACAATTTCCCTGTCTATTTATTTACTACTATTGAACATCCAAAATATACTATTTAATCCTATGTACATATGCCATATGTGAACATACATATTTCATAGTATATAGTATAGTATATAGGCACACAAAAAGATACATTATTTACTATATATACTGTATGTATATGTACACATATACACACACATACACCTCTTCTAAAACTATACATGTTCAACCTCACTTACTACATTTGGAAAAACACACCTAGAGTCCACTTTCTGCCACACATTTAACTATAACTTCTATACATTTAGAACATTACACACACCTTCAGATGTTCTTCCCTAGCTTGCACATGAGCCAGGAGAGATCATGGATTGAGTAAAATGTGGTGAAACTCACTTAACAATGCTCTTGCTTAGCAACCAAAATTTTGGGCTCAATTCTGGTCATAAATCAAGGACTATCTCGGCCTTCCTCTGCATGGCAGCCTTATCCTAGTAAACTTCTTCTCCTTTCTGACAATTTTCCTCTCTGTTAGAGGCACCAAAATAATCCAGGCAATGTAAAGTTTCCTGCTGGAGCAGGGGGTTGGACTAGATGGCCTCTAAGGTCTTTTCCAGCTCTAGATTACTGACCTGTTTCAAAGCATCTTCTGAAGCCAAGTCTAGTGCAGGGTGTTTGTTCCTTCCTTCCTCTTTCTTTCTTTCTTTCTTTCTTTCTTTCTTTCTTTCTTTCTTTCTTCTTTCTTTCTTTCTTTCTTTCTTTCTT